TTCACACTTCCACTGTGTGTGTCCGCAACGTCATCCTGCTCTAAAGGTTGCCATGCAACAGTACCAAATGATGAAGATTACCCAATCTGCGTTAGTCTCCCCATCTTTGACTTCCTGTGTGGCTCATCTGCTTTTTAGTAATCAATGTGTCTTGCTTTGTTCCGTCACATATAGACTCAATCACTATACTGTACGTGATAGATGACAGAGAAGAGCTGTGCGTCATGCTGCAGAGCAACATCATCAGTAGGAATTAACACACTGACAAGAAAAGCTGCTATTTCTTACAGAATGGAGGACACATGGGTTGAGTCTAGTGCTGTTTTTCAATATGTGTACTTCTCATGTGCTTGTGAAACGTTGTCATCCTCAGCCCTAATACTGTTCCAATGCACAAGAACACAAAGTCAAGAATGGACAAAGTCCCCGGATGTTGTTCTCGCCCCTCCCTCTGTACCGACAACCAGATCAGTGTTGTCCATTCTCCAGATTTACAGCTGTCCCAGCATGCACTGCAGCAGCAGCTTTCAGTGGTATTACGCTAAAAGTTCTCTGTTGTTCTATAAAAGTATGTTTTAAGATCATTTGAGGTGAGAACTTTATACTTTTAAGCATCACTATATGGCCCATTTACTGATTTAGTGAATAATTTACCAGTAGAACTCCCACGGCCGTCATTTTGACGGTTTTGAGGGGAAAGAACTTTTTTACATTAATCATATGTTGCTCATGTTAACTGACTTCTCCTGTTTCTATATTTCCTTCATTTTCACATAGTTTTTTTTAACAAAATAAAAACGTAAAAAATAAATATGGTTAATTTTACCTCAATCTCCCACAGCTGTCATTTTGATGGCTCTATTAGTTGCATTGTAAATTCTTCCCACGGTTGATTGACATTCAGTACCGTTGGCTAGCAACCAACATTCTACCTTCTGACCTTTAGAAATGCTAGCAGTGAACGCTCCCATCGTGCGCCGCTTCACCGCTTAACGTTCCTTCACCGTACGGTTTAAGTTTTGTTGCATTGAAGAAGTGATCGAAACACAATAAAGGATTCTTTCTATTGCGGACATGTTTCTGTTGGGAGGAGCTGATTGAGTCATGAGGAACAAGCAGGAACTGACATCCATAAGAGCAAAGCTATCTAACCCTGATATCCCACATCCTCCGTCACCATCGTTAATTAGTGTGATTTATAATTTTAGGAGTTAGGGAAAAACTGAAAAAAAGTTCACATACCTGCATTAGAGCTCCAATTGTTTAAACCATGGCCGGTTTTCCATCCTTGCAACAAAACTAGCGGCAGTAGTGGAGTTTGGAGATTTGATCCACTTCTTAAAACTATCTTTGCTTTCCTCTAATTTATCCAGAAGTTCTGCAATCGCACTTCTCTCACCCTCAGCTTGGTAGTCGGCTGCATATTTAGCTTGCCCTCCCTGGAAATGCCTTTCCAAATTTTTATTTTTATTTTTTAACAACCTCTCATTACAAAGCAAAAATGCAGGCAATCCTTCCACTTTGATAATGAAAGCAAATGATTCTGTCTGTTTGAATGCTCTTTTGTTATTAGCTATCTTCCTTTTTTCCCTTTGGGTTCAATGGTCCGAGACACACTTGCAGCTTTGTTTGCCTGGCACCGCGCAAGGCTGGTTGCAAGTTATGACCACTAATCTTTATGGCTATGATGCAAATCATGCTTAAATGTATTAATTATCCAGATTTTTACAGCATTGGAAAACATTATTAATTAGCCTTTGAACTCCTGCACACCATATTAAAACAAACAAACAAACAAAATCTAGCCGCATTCGGCTCCGGAGCCGCAGGTTGCCGACCCCTGCACTAGTGTCTCAAAAACTCCAAAAAAAAAACCAACAAAAATCTTTACCGAGCAGTGGTCCATCAAATATGTGTTACTTCTGTAGTTATTTTGAAACCCTGTTTACCTTATACCTTATATATTTACCTTTTATCATAAAGTACGATGGGTATTCCTTTGGTTCTTACAATCACCAACCCCTAGACTGGAGATGTAGATCAGTTTTCTTTAGAATAGCGTTTGTCATTTAGGTTGATTTAAATACATTTTCTGCAGCCTTTATTAAAGGAATAGTACACCCAAAACATGATTAGCCTTCATTTTCTGCTCACCCCCATGCTGAACAACACTCTGGAGTACTTTTTTGATATCTCAAATGCATCTGGAGATCTGGGAGGCTTCTTGCTGTCTGCTGACATTCAAATAATGGAGGTGCCCAGCGCCCAAGGCAGAAAGGTCCATAAAAGTCCACAAAAAACGTTTCAATATTCCTCCATACTGCTCGTCCAATGTATTCCAAGTGTCCTGAGTGGGTAGCATCCAGAATTTACTCGAAACGAAGTCATTTAGAATGTTTTTAGAGCATAAACAGTAGTGTATAGGATTTCCTGAAAGCGCGCACCTGCGCGATCACGACGCTACGGAAGCCGGCAGACCAAACCAGCGCATTCAGCTCGGCAAAGAACTCATGCTCTTCCTCAACACTGAAGTCCTCAGACATTTTTCTTTCGTTGTTTCTTTCTTTGCACAGGTAAACAGCACATTTCTTCTTCTACGTTTGCATTATTGGCAGAGCAGACGCTGAATGCGCACTTTCATCTGGTTTGGTCTGCCGGCTTCCGTAGCGTCGTGATCGCGCAGGTGCACGCTTTCAGGAAATCCTATACACTACTGTTTATGCTCTAAAAACATTCTAAATCACTTCGTTTCGAGTAAATTCTGGATGCTACCCACTCAGGACACTTGGAATACATTGGACGAGCAGTATGGAGGAATATTGACACGTTTTTTGTGGACTTTTATGGACCTTTCTGTCTCGGGCACAATAGACCTCCATTATTTGAATGTCAGCAGACAGCAAGAAGCCTCCCAGATCTTCAGATGCATTTGAGATATCAAAAAAGTACTTCAGGGTATTGTTCAGCATGGGGGTGAGTAGAAAATGAAGGCTAATCATGTTTTGGGTGTACTATTCCTTTAAGCTATGGAAGTTTAAAGGATATAAATTACCTAAAAGGCCTTTTCACTTAGGTTAAAAAACAAATTCCAGGTATCAAAATCCCAAGATTCGGTCAAAAAAAGGACTTATTTTATCGTTTCTGAGATTATAGTTCAGCCTTTTTTGCTGATGAAGCTAACTGCATTTTGGTTGATCAATTCAATTATTACATTATAAAAAAACTAAGCTTAGATGTGACCACCGCCCCCATTATAATGTTCTATGCTGTATAAAAATGACTTCATTTGACTTTTCCAAAGTATATATCTAGTTTTTCTAAAAAAAACATATACTCCTGCAATATGTTACATCAATGTCAAGATGTACATTTTTACCAAAACAACATTGGCAATACTCTTGTTATCTGGATGCCTCATACAAAACTTCACTATGACCAAGTCAGTATTCTTTTTCCTCTTTTGAAGAAAGAAGGAAAAGCAATAGCAGGATGAAAGTATTTAATTGCTGATTAAAGAAATAAATTTTGTCTACATTATTTTTCCTATCAACTTGAAAACATTTTCTTGATAAATGACATATTAAAGTTCATGGATGGTTACTGATGGTTTGAAATGTTGCAGGATTATGGCTGAACACATAATTTCAGCATTCAGCAATTGTAAGAGAATGATGAAAAATCACGTCATTGGATATGCTTTTGTGGCATTAATCACTGTTGAGAGCAGGAGTACCACCCCCTCACATACTGATTTACCATTTAGATGTACCACATAGACTCTCTCATCTGCATGCCTTCAAGGACTCCATTCAATTAGGTTCCCTCAGACTTTCTCATCCTAACTTTGATCTAGATTTTTGACCCATCACAATCTCAGAAATAGTTTTTTTTTTCTTCCCTGCTGTTGAGTTCTTTTAGTCTCATCATTTTTTTCTGTCTGTCTTGCTATCCTATCTCTCTCCCAAAGCATTACCTCTTAGGCAGCATTCAGGCAGACAGATTCTAGATGAGTCACCCAGAATGTCTGATTCCATCAGCCTCCCTCTGTTTCCTGCTCTTTGCTCACTCCTTGTTCTTGATGCTTCTGCATCATTTTGCAACAAAAAAAAACCCTCTTTACCCAAGTAATCACCACCATCACTATCATTGTGTCGACTTCCCAATGGCTCCCATTCATATTCCATTCTTTGATATGGCCTGAGCCTAACCCCTACCCAAACCCTAACCTGAACCATTATTAACGCATACCCAGCCCTAAACCTAACCAAAACTCAATTCATGCCTTAGTCCTAAACTACTACCATCCTAAGATCCTTTCCTCACTGGGACCATTCATTGGTTACCACAAGTATCTGTAAGTCCCAAAAAATGTTGAATGTTCCTAAGAAATTTTCCCACAGGCTATATATATGGCCACACTTGATTTGCCATTTTGCCAGATAATGATCACAAATTGATACTTCATCTCTTTGGAAAGTCTAGCTCTTTTGGGTAAAGACTGTGAATGAGAATGTTTGATGAGAGATATGATAGGATATGGGTTAAAGTTAGGGATTAGAGGCGAGTGCTGCTGAGAATAAAACATTTTTCTTTCAACCCAAGAGACATACTGTAGGAGCATTCACTAAAACAACTTGAATTTTAAATATATTTTTTCCCAAGGCTTGGTCCATATTAGTTTTTGACTGTTTTGATAATGTGGCTTCTGTATTACAGCAGATTAATATGCACTCATGGGTGTGCATACAATTGTGCAACAGTACACAGAGTATTCAACCACTTGTGCTATGTGCCTTGCCCAGATGAACATCAACAGGTGGCAGGATGAAGCTGGGATCAAACCTAGAATTTTTGGATTGCTTCTCTGTCTAATGTACTACTGTGCCAAAATATTCCTGTCTTGTGTTTTTAGAGTTGAGGTTTTTTTAAGATTAAGCATTTGCTTTAAATATAATCGTACAGAATATATCTAGTGACATTTTTTTTGCTTTATTTTTCAGAGCCTGAAACAGAATCAGAAACCACAATGTACTATGTCATTGGAGCCATTTTGTACAGGACTCTTGGCGTCATCTTACCTGGACCAAGGTGGGTAACTTTTTCATTTTTTAGATTCTGTCTGTCTGTCTGTCTGTCGGTCTGTCTGCAAATGGTTTTGAAGTAATTTGAAACAGAACTGATGCTGCTTTCCACAGTTCCCACTCCTGGCATCCCAAATCTTAATGCTCTATGACGTAAGCACAGTTCAGCCACCACTCCCGTAACCATAACATAGCCAAGCATCCTCATGCTATATCCAGAGCTTTAAACTACCCAAATTAGCTGTTGTCCAGATCACAACTCTAAAACAAAGGTGACCAGGTTTTCATGTTAGTGGTTGTCCCAATATTTGATTACCTACCTTTGCAAACCACTTAGACTGCTAATCAGTTTAAGGTTTAAGGTTTACCCAAAAAACTCAGCTGTGTGCTTTGGCTTTTGTGTCTACTGACCAAATCTACATCTCAATAGTGCATTTAATAACAACAATCCTTAAACAAAGTGCTGCACAATGGATGAAGTCACCAGTGGTGCAAACAGTTTTATAAAGAATATAATGAAATTATAAAACTCAATAACTTTAGTAAGTAGTAAAAGAATGACAGAGCTAAGAGTAATGTTGTAGTCAAGACAGCACCAAACAAGACCTAGAAATACCGAGACAATACCAAGACATTTAGAGGTTTAGGCCAAGACAATACCATATAAGTTCTTGGCCTTGACCTGTAAAGGTCTTTGCCTTGAATTTGCAAGGCAGTTGCATTTTGATGTGTTTTTTTTTTTTTTTTTTTGTTCTGTTTTGCAGGAGATTCTGAATTTCTTAATGGCAATTATTTGATGAAATTTGTCAAGTCACATCTCAATAGTGCATTTAATAACAACAATCCTTAAACAAAGTGCTGCACAATGGATTAAGTCACCAGTCGAGTAAACAGTTTTATAAAGAATATAATGAATTAATAAAACAAAATTAAGTGTTGTAAGTATTAAAAGCATGACAAAGCTAAAAGTAATATTTTAGTCAAGACCACACCAACCAAGATCTAGGAATACGGAGACAAGATCAAGACATTTACAGGCTGAGGCCAAGACCAATACAGCATAAGTTATTGGTCTTGGTCTCTGCAACTGTTCTAGGCTTCCGTTGTACAATACTCTTGCATGTCCAGCTGGGATACCATATGCCCACCTAAAAATCTTCATATGGTTCCCCTGTAGTATAAGGAACTCTTCTATTACAGACACCCTTTCCTAAGAGTTCCATCTGTCTCATTAAATGTTTTCTGTTTACTAGAGTATTTGTTTTTACATGCTCTCTTTATTTATCATTTATATGTGTTTGTATTTATAGTCCTCCTGCAGTGATTAACTCCAAGATAATGACAGTGACTGTGCGTCCTGAACCACAGCCAAGCGAGCCAATGGTTGTGGTGGAGCTGTCACCGCTTTTAAATGTAAGTAGAAATAAAAAAAATAACAGTGCCAACATCAGCATGTGTACATTGGATTTAAAGACCTGTCTGGATATTTCTATATTTTAACTTTTCCCATCCATTTCCAAACCAACTCATCAGAGAGTTTGCATATTGTCCTACTTACTTCAAAGTACAATAAATGTTTTTGTTTGGAGCAATTTTTCAAAGCAAGGTTTTTATTTTTATTTTTTTTATTTTACTCTTTTAATCTGAGCATTTTTAGGAATTAAAATAAACTCAAGGATTTAATGTAACCCTGTTGGCCTTAGTTTTGAAGAACCAGAAAGTACTACAAAAACTAAACAGCAATGTGAGCAACTGCAGACTTTTCGACTTCCTTATATGACATCATCTGGTGCTCATTAATTTTATATTAAACCACATTATACATGGACATGTATTTTTCTCTTGTCCTGCTTCGCAAATATAATTTTGGAAATTGGTGTCCGGGAGCTAGATAGCAGCACACCAGATTTTCTTTCACAAAAAGACCATTATAGTTGTTGTCATAAGGTTTTGCTTGGAAATTATGTTATTAGCTTTATTAAAAATGGTGTGGGGAATAAAATATACAACAGACAGGGAGATGGAAAGGAATATCAGAAGGGGAGAGGGGATAAGAATTAAGGGGAGAGAGAAAGAGATAGTGAGATAAAGAAGGGGGGAGAGAGAAAGCTGTTGTGATCTTAGAGTTATCTTTAAAGTGATTTAAAGTTTTAGCATTCTATTCCCCATAGTCTGAGAGACAGTGAGAGACTTTTTCAAAAAGAAACCATGCAGCAGATAATTATTTGTTTTAAAACTGCTCATAAATCTGTACAGCCTTTTAATTTGCATGCTTTGGTTTTGACCAGACCACCTTTTCGTGGTGCAATTAAGCATACGTATTTTTTTTATAAATCCTTCATTGATAAGACATTTGTACATATTATTTAAAAAGAATGTTATTTTTCATCTTACCAGCATTGTATATCCCTTTTGATTTACAGCAAGAATATGTTGGTTTCAATCCCTAGACAGGGGTTATTTTTTGCATAGAGTTAGCATGTTTTCCTTGAATGAAAGTCTTCTCAGTTTACTTCTGATTTTATCCCACAATACAAAAAATGCATTTTAGCTGAACTGGTATACATAGCTTCCTGTTCCATATTTCTATGATGAACTGCTGTCATTTCCAAGGTGCACCTCATTTCTTGCCTTATTTTCTCTGGATACAGGCATCCATGATTCTGTTCTCAAAGTTCATCAGATCATGCAACAAATAAAAGCTAAGATAGGATAAGATAGGTATTTATTGAACTGACAATGGAGAAATTGATTTGTAATATCAGCTCTAATAAACAACAGAAGCAGAAAAAGAATGAAAAAGTGCATTAAAGAAGTAAATGTACAAACTCAGGCTAAGAAGGAATACATCTTCCTTCCTTATAAAGCAATTTAGTAATGTAGACATTTAGGAACCCTTTATGGAATTTGAATATTTTACCTTGCCATATTTTTTTGTTATGTAATAGAGAAAAAATATCTGGTGACAGACTGTGGGAAACGCACACTTTAACCTTTAACAGTAAAAAAGAACAACAAAAGAACAGTTAATGTATTTTATTCTTCTTATTTGCTTAAAACCCCCAAACAGTTTTTAAAAAGTTTTTGATTACCCTAGCCTAGTCCAATGTTTAAAATACATTAACTGTTCTTGCATTAAATACACATTGTTCATATTTTTTTCTCAGAAAACTGTAAAAGGTATCTTGTAATGGCTAGAATCGATGTTCATGCATGGAGTGACACAAAATGAGTCCTGAAAAAAAAAAATCTGAAAAGGGAATTATGGATTAGGTTGGTGGTAATGATAATAACTTAGGGCTAATCACCTAAGTCAAGTAATCAATATACCATAGGAATTAAGCTCCTTAAAATTCTATTCAGCAATTATAAGAGAATCCCTCTCTTATGCAATGTTAATCAATATTGAAATACTATGAAGCAAGCTAACATTTTTTTGCCAAAAAACAGGGATACACCGATTACAAAAATACAGTTATAACTCATAAAGAAATGCATATATCTGACCAATTAAAGAGTCTGTAGGGAAATAAATCTACCTCCACAAGCTCAAGTTTCACCTTTTTTTAAGCCAACTGACCATCTCATTTTCATTGCATCAAACTCCAATCTAATTCAAATCTGCTCAAATCTTTATTCTCTCCATCACCCTCACTCATGCATGTCAAGTTAAGGTTTTTCAGCTGTTTGGGATCCTAACTCACAAAAGTAAACATTGGAATGAGTTTGGCTGTTTAATTTATGATTGGCATTCTCTGGAGATTTAGGAAAGCTTTGATCACAACCATCCAAAGAAAATTTTCTAAATTAACCTCCAGTTCAGCATTGGAGTATATTGACCAGAGTAGTAATTTATTTTTCAATGGAAGATGTCTTGTCTAATTTGTGTTAAATTTATTTTTTTACTCATTTTTTTTTTTGAAGAAACACCCATAGCCTTTCTTTATATATAAAAATACAATAACAAAAAACAAAACAAATATACAAAAATAAATAAATAAACAAACATATATAAATTTTATTTTAAACTATTCCAGTCACTAGTTAACCAGGGACTAGTTGTGAGGGAGATACAAAATTAAATAGACACTAAATTAATAGAGAAAGAAAGGTAATATGAATACATTAAATAGATGTGTTGAGGATGATTTACAAAGATTATGTGGGTAATGGAAAACAGGTAGAAAATGTATCACTGTATTTAAAATTAGGATTTTGTGTGTGCTGGGACTACCAAAGGAATTAAGTTCTAAGCCATAGACTTGGAGGTAATTATGATAATAATACTACAGACCTTTCTTAAATCTCCCCTTTATCAGTAAGATTATTGAAAAACCTTTTTTCCCACCCGCTAAACATCTTCCTAACAATGAAAAGCCACTTCACCGGGCATCCCTGCTTACCCAAGTACAAAGACTGCCCTGGTCATGGTATCAATGACATCCATATAAATGCAGACCATGGAAGAACCCCAAAATTTATTTGATAGCTTGGGAAACCTGGTTGGTCTTTCTGGTACAGCACTGCACTAGCTTCAATCCAATTTGAAGAACAGGGCCATTTTTGCCTCCTCTGATGAAAACTGTTCAGAATAGGAGGGACATTCAGTTGAACCTTCAGAGCAGGTTGGGATAAAAAACCTATTGCCTGCCTACCAAACTTTGATTTTAGCTCATCACTATAACAAATATAATGGCAGCAAAAGACATATGAAACCTGCTTGGATTCTGACCAAACATATGCCATAGCAGCAGCAGCAGCAGCATGCATGTCCTCCTGTGCTGCCATGTATATTTTGGTTTATTACTTGGCAAACTCTTGCTTTCATCATAGCTAGATCTTTCGGCTTGACCCATAATTCTCCAATGAAACTGGGGGGGCCTATCTGTCTCAAGCGATTAAAGCAGTTTACAGTCGAGATGTAATGGTGTGTCACTGTGAATGCTTATAGGCTAAAGAGAGTTAGCAAACAGTTCAGTCAGCATTATCATTTGGAAGTGTCAGGTTTCAATAACTGTATGTAGAATGTTGAATTGGAGAATATTTGCCACTTTGAAAAAATCTCAAAGCTATTTTTATAAGGTTTATTTCATAACTTTTATTAGCATATATATATAGCATGTTTTTTTTTTGTTTTGTTTTTTTTTTATTTGCTTTTCCATTATTTCATTCCTTTGTTCATTTGCATTCACATGGCTGATAATTTACATTGTGTTTGTTGTTTTGCTTTGTTTTTATGTGAGTAAGATAACTGCTACACACTGTGATGCATTTTCATGGCTGCTAGATATTTAAAGATAAATAAGTTATTTTTCAACCTGCTATTCCTATTTCTGCAGAATCCTTATCTTTTGTATTTGGCAATGTTACCAGAAGTAAATATTTGTGTATTTTACACTTCTCAAAATGTATAAAAGAATAAATTATATTCTATTTCTTTTCCTGTAAAATTCATATATTTTGCACCACTCTAGATAATTTGAAAAGAAATAAAAAGTTTAGATGGACAAATTTGTAGCTATAACCTTTAAGAGGAAGTAGATTATGATGCAAATATATTAACAGAAAACAAGTTTTTGTTATGCAAACTAATCTTACCAAAAAATATTCAAAACTGTTTTAGTTCTAAAGTTCAGAATCAAAATTTCAAGTTTTAACTTCAGCACACAACTTAATCAACAAGAAAAAAAAGAATAAAATAGGCTTTTTACTTCTTCCCCTGAGAACCCTTTGACAAAAATATCATAGGTGCCCCCCCATACACACACACACACGCACAACCTGCAACCATGACAACCAGTCAGAGTTTCTATAGATAGCTTAGGAAAGTGGAATAATACATTAGATGAATTCCAAAACTCTACCAATGGGCTGCTGCAGACTGCTCTGAACAGCTTTCTCCCCCTTATGACATCATATGGGGAGTGACTTTTAAACAGACCATTTAGAGCAAAAATTTGCAAAGAGAAAGGCAATCATAGAGATTAAATGTTTTTTTTTTTTCCATTTTTGAATCTCATACACAGGCATCAGGAAGTATATGTCTGTCACAAAATGTTAATGATGTAATTTTTTTTAAGTTAAAAACTGATAAGACAGAACTTGAAAGGATTCATTTGGAAGGTTTTTTATTTCGACTCATTTGAAATAAGGATACAGGGTTTTATTATTTCCATTTCATAATTTCCAGTGGCAATTAACTAAAAACAAAAAAACTGTGCAGAGCCTCACAAAACTGCCTTAACAAGTTCACATGAATAAGAATCAAGTTTTGGCTTTTGGCCAACACAATGATCCAAGCTATTAATTGATAATAGGCCTGATATGATTTAATGTAAAACACAAAAATTAAGCTAATATTGAAACCCAAGTAAAGAGCTCTGACTGAAGCCAAATATCATATTTTAGCTTCAGCTTGTAGCAACGGAATCTGCCTTTTATGTTATTTACCTTTACTGTAACTGAAAAGTTTGCTTTCATTCTCGATTACTCTCTCAATCAAACATGAGTTAAGTCATTCAAACATATCTTTACCTGCTAAGATCTACTGACAGTGGCACAGTGGCAGTATTAGAAGAGCATGAGAAAATAGAACCATTCAGGAATGCATGTTAAGGCTATTATTTATCCAAACCTAGATTTTATTGCTTTTTTTTCTTATTTTTTTCTTCTAGTCTTATCTACTTCAACTACTTCAGCACCTGGTAGCTTAGGCTACCATCTATGAGCTTTACACCAAGAACTGGCCCTGCCCTAAAGAATGCTATGTGCGTGCTTTTGAGTTGGACTTTAAATATATTTTGTTTTTATTATTTATACTTATCTATATTCTCTAACACTCCATACAAAATACAAGCAGGCAGGTGAACTCAAAACATAATTTTCCTCTTTGTTAAGACAAAATAGCTATGTATCAGGTCTGACCTTAGTCAATCTAGAAACAACCAGCTGTCTGAGCTGTGGCAAAGCAACAGCTGCCCTGCGCCTCAATCTCTAAGGCAAATGTACAGGGTCATGTCTTCACTGAAAGGACATCTGCTCCAGTCAGGCTCCCTATGTTTATCCCAATTGCCCTAAATTCTGTGTCTTTAATGGTGAGGAGGATGTAGGAGGCCCAGAATCCCAATGCCCCTAAAGCAGACCAGTTCAACATATGCCAAGTGCCACACAACACCTGCTCCATCCTCCACATGCACATTTTAAATCCTGGTTCAGTTGATAGACCCAAGCCTTCCTTGAAAATTCAAATTATCAATAAATTGACCTGTAAAAAAAAAATCCAACCGATTGCCCCATTTATTTTTGGCAACCATAATCATGAAATTAGGGGCTCAGATTTTGATTTTTTAGAATATTTCATCTGACCGGCTCACCATATCCAGAACGAACATCAGCTCCCTACATGCCGTGAAGTATAACGGTTGCCGTAGAGACAATGGTTGTCCCGTTCAAGACTAAGGGGAATTCAAATGTAGATGCTATTATCGCCATCAAGCAAACTGCTTCCTTTTAAGTCATCATTTAAGCAGATTATGTCAGTGTGCAAAGAAGAAGCCATACAGTGTGGAAATCAAAAAGTCTCAGTTGCGTTTTAGTAGACATGATCCTATGATTGATAGCTGCAAGCTAACAGAGCTTGCTGTACTAATGCACGTCCAGGGACATCTAACATTGGTGACGGCAGCCTGTGTGTAAGGCAGAACAAAGCACTTTTCAACCATCAATCCTCGTCATCTGCTCTCTGATCCTGTGTACATGGATCTTACATCATCCCGTCCTCTCAAGTCTAGTCATGGATGAATAGATTCATGGTAGGACTCTCCTGGACTGCTTGGAGAAGGACAAATGACCTTGTCTTTCACAGAATAAATCATATTCTTACTGTCTTCTGTGTGCAGTGGCTTTTTGTGGCTAAGTTAAAACTAACTAAAAACCACTAGAAAACATATTCTAACGGCTTATAGAAATTACCATGTTCAAAACTTTTTTATTCATACAGTTCCTTATAAAAGTATTCAGATCCTTTGAACTTGTATCATGTTACACTTTTCCATAATAGACCAAACCAAAGTTCAAGTAAAAACTTTTTTTTTCTTTTTTCTAATGATAAACCATGTTCTTATGATTTCAACTGCTATGACTCATTATTTTGTTGAAAAAAGAAAAGCATGATTTATGTCTAGTTTGTCTATGGGTTTTAAGAATTATTATTTTTTTTTTTTTGTTTGTTTACTAGGTGACTCATGCTAAGGTGAGATTTTCTATGAACATGTATTTTTAATTAAATTTATTTCAGGAATTTGTTCAAAAATCTGACATATGAAAATGCTTTAATTTAAACCAATAGTTAAAATCAAGCTATGGACTGCTTTTAACAGAGTTCAGAAGAGATTTAGGTCTCAATTATAAAAAAAAAAAAAGCTTGTTAACCGCTGTAAGCTTTTTAAAACTTTGATACAGTGTTAGCTGTCTTTTTCGACTTGTTGACAGACCTTGACTGTTCACTGAAGCAGGAGCTAAAAGTATAGATTCATTAAGATTTCTCTGCTGAGTTAATGGATGTGTGACTATAGGGCTTTACTAATACTTTTACTAGTAATAGCAAAGTTATTCTTAGGCTCTTTGGTATAATTAGACAGTATGGAATGGGTATCATACTCTCCATTGTTCTAGCTTCCAAAGTGGTATGACATAAGCCCCTGTAATTCACAACAAACTTTAAGCCTGCTGATCACTCACAGCACAATAAAAGGATTAAATAAACATTATTAGGGTATATGCTTGGCAGATTTAATATATATATATTTTTTTTTTTGTATAGTAGTACTTAGTGAGTAGTATTACTCTATGGGAGTTATTTTATTTTCCTTCTACTTATCTAATACAAAGCATGCTGTTGTAATGGTACAGAAAAAAAACAAAACAGTTTTTATGTGGTGGTAGTTGATGTGATAGGTTTGAGCACCATTACATTAACCATTCCATTGGAGCTCTTCTGTATGCTTAAGTTTGATGTACTGCTGCTATATAGTCTTTTGCAACTTTTAATAGGTTTTCTTCCAGGATTTTACAGTATATAGCTCCATTCATCATCGTAGCAAACATGACCAGTCTTCCTGTCCCCACTGAAGAAAACATTCCCGTGGTATGATTTCGCCACTATCTTTTCAGCATGATGAAGGTGTAATTCAGGTCGTGCATAAAGCGGTCCATTTTAATTGTCTGTCATACAAATATTTCCATTTTGCCAAGTAGCTTGTTTTTAACTGGCCAGATCACCTCCCTCTGAATTGTTGCTGTATTTCCTAAATGAGACTGCCAACATTAAACAAGACCTTATATTATTGTAATCCAACAGTGACTTTCTTCTCTATTCTTTTCCAAAATATCATGACTAATATTTATCTATTCAACAGATCATCCCATCTTTCCTGTATATTTTTGCCCTTCCAGTAGATATCTAAGAAATGCTGTCCTTCACTGAATAAGTTTGTATAAGTAGTTGGACAAATGTTGAACATCTAACAGTGATTCATTAGATTTTCTGGTCATGTCTAAGGGATATTTTTTTTTATTTTTTATAAAGGCAATCAGTGTTACTAGAGTTTATTTAGAGGACAAAGTTCAAATGGGGTGTAGGCAAAATGCAGCAAGCACTTTTTTTTTGTCTTTCAAAGCAAATTTTAATGCTTTTTAAGGCACTTAATAGAACAATCTCAGCTGGAATCCTGCTATAACCTCATTTGCCATAAGGGGGAGCTCAAAGGCAAAGTGCTTTATTCATGACATAGGAAGACTTTCCATACTGAAATAGATAGAAATCAATTTTACTCCTCTTTCACCACTGTGCAGATTTCAGCATTGTTCACTCAACTACAGCTCTTAAAAATCTTTCAGCAGTCATTAGAAAACGGACTCAGGGTTGCACAAAAGCTGCACCCAAAGACCAGAGATTTTACCCCCCTGTTTGATTTGATTGAGGGAATCCATTTTAAACTAATCAGTAAGGGAACTACTTAAGATTGCTGTTGGAACAGATTTTGATGAGTCAGTTAAAGCTATTGATTACCTGATTGATTCACTTATTGAGCTATATAGAGTCTTCCTTTGCCACCAGCTTTGATTACAGTGATTTATGCTCCACTTGGAGCCCAGCCTGTTGGGGTCTGGCATCAGCTAGTCAATGAAATTACTGGCAAGCTAATATCAGAACATGTTAAGTCCATTTTAAAGCTCTGTCCAAGTTTACAGTCAGATTGCAAGGTGTTTCAGACTTTATGCATTTAAAATTGATTTATTCCTCCTTATTTTTCCTCTTTTTTATTATTGTCAAATGTACTAGACTAACTTTTGTATGTATGTAGTTGAATTTGAAAACCATCCTTTTAAATTGCATGCATCCGTATTGATCATGTCTATAAAATCTGTTTTTTTTTTATCCCAGTGTCTCCGACCTGTGCCACACATTTTCTCTTTTTCTGCAGCAGCATCAGTAGCAGCTATTTACTGCTCTTTCCTATTAAAGAAAGACTCTTTCTCCATGTCTTACGCTCGCAGTCTGTCACAATCCTTCTCTTTCATTGTCTGTTTGCTTCCCTCCATTGCCCATGCAGCATCACTCTTTTTCCCTTTTGGCAAGAAACTACTCTGTCTTCTCCCTCTGCCACCTCCTTTCCACAAGCAATAACAGCTTATCTTCTCCCCCCCCCCCCTCTTTTTTCTATCTTGCAGGGTACATCAGATCCTCAGTGCGTTGTCTGGAACTATGGCAACCCGTAAGTTTCTCTGAATGAATGGTGTTGAAGATATACACAAGGTCTTGCCAGAGTGTTTTGCTGATATTTATCGTGTGTGTAGTCTCAGAAGAAAGAACTCTGACTGGTATTAGTTAATTAGATTATAATAAAAATATAAACTATTGTCTTTTTGCTTCTTGTTGTTCAAAGAAAACACTCATCTTAAGTCTTTCTCAGTGTTTACCTATTTCACACCATGTTGACAGTTTAATTCGCTGGTCTTTATTCTGCTTTTTGTTGCTTTAATTCCAGCAGCCAACTTGTATTGAATTAGTTCCCTTAAGTGCTAGTGTCCTCCTAATGACATTTCTCTTATATATTTAAGTAGGACACAGACAGCTTGATTATGCTTGTTTTGAAAAGTGGACTTGCACAACTGAACTCTGGGATGTAAACAGGCACAATTGATTGGATGGTTTAAGCCATTAACCCACATACTGTAGAGAATGTTCAATTTGTCTGTGACAGAAATCAAATTGTTTGAATGCATTTGAAAAAAAAACTTCAGCTCCCGGATTAAGTGTAGCTCAGGGAATATGCAGTTGAATACGGAAGTTAAATATTTTGCTTAAAATTACATCCCAAACCATGGTATGCTCTGCTATTAAAAACAGGAAATAAATACCAGCCTCCATCGCAACCATAAAAGATTAGGGTTGGTAGAGAAAATAGATAAATTAATCATGCGATGGTTTAGATTAATAGATGATTCAAAGAAACTCATCACAAGTAACATGATGTCTAGCCCAAGCTACCACTTTATACCTGTAGTAGCACTGCATGACATTAGGGAAAGGGAGTAATTTGCAATCACAGTGTTTCATATGTTGGTATTTGTTTGTAACATATGAAAAAACACATGGTCTTCACAAAGATTCACTTTTTCCACATTTTGTTTTTTAAAACTGTATCAAATGTAATCATTTTGGCATAGAACCTTGATGAAAGAGCCTAATTTAAAATAATTAGAATTAGGATGTATCATATGGGAAAGCGAAGAGGCGTCAATGTGCATTTGAGTTTAACGGGCCGTTAACCTGGAAGTTATCAAAATTGCACTGAAATTCTAGTTGTAGTGCAGAAACTGTTTTCAAAACGTTATGGAAATGTGTTATTTTGACAGTTTCAGTTGCGTTTCCTGCACCAACAGGACCACCAGCCTGCCCAACAAACTGCATACTCTGTCACTGACCAACACCCTTAGTCACGTCTTCTTGCATGTAGGTGAACACTTAGACTCCCACCAGCAGACTGAAGGCAACCTTTAAAGGGAGTGGTGGAGTGGCCATCTGGAGGTTAAGTTAGATTCCTAAACAGCACATGAAATGCAGCATCATTGCTGCAGTGGTGCATAGCTCTCTCTACCCACACCCTGCAGTCGCAAGTGGATCATCACAACGTCTCACTAGGCCAATCTAAAAATGTGCTTATTAATGGGATATCTGAACAGCTTCTCTCAGTATGAAACAGAAAAGAACAAAATGAATAGGAGTGGGCTCAATTTGCAAAGAGGCAAAATAAAACAGAGAATGAGATGGATGAGTTATAGAATAAAGCAAGTCTAATTTTACATTGCTTCTCTTAAGACTCCACCCCCCTTGTAGACTCACAAACAATCCTTGTGAAAACCCTGTGTCACGTTTTGGTCGTGGTTTAGAGGACCCAAATGCAGAGGCAGAGAGACTGAGCTGAATTCTTGTAGTTTTAATGATGAAAATGGTTAACAAAGGCAGGAATCAAAAAATCCAAAAAAAAAAAAAATGTAAGCAAACCAGAACCATGGAGACATCAGGGGAAACCAAACACCAAAGCCAGGGAGAGACGAGGTATGAAGACAACATGAGAAGCCAGCAACGACAAGGAACCAACAAGGAGTGACTGCAGAGTAACCCCCAGATTCCACATACTCCGTCAGCGCTCCGCTCCGCTCCGCCCCGCTGACGTACGTCGTGCGGAGCGCTTGTCTTTCATGGAAATCAATGAGAGCTGTTCCACATCCACCGCTACTCCTCCGCACGTCTCCGTCCACGTACGTCTTCTCCGTCCGTCACCGACAAATTACGGAGCCGAGCTATTTTTTGCTCCGCTCCGGTCCGGCCAGGTCAAGATCCGCAATTGCAATCGCACCAAACAGGAAAAAGAACATCGACAAATTCCGGTTCGTCAAATTAAAATATAGCAGCAACAAAACTAATACCGTTTATTTAAATGATTGGATCCAAACTATTGGTTATTCACCAACGAGGAAGCAGATTTCTCATCTCCATCAAAATATTTATTTTATACCGAGGGACTTAAACTTTAATCAAATCCATTCAAAAGAAACTTCTTATTACAGGAATGAAAAGAGATGCTGAGTTTGAGAGTAGTGAACAAGTTCATTCAAAAAAAGCAGTTTTGAATTATCCTTATCCCCGTTACAAAAATCTACAAATATATATATATATATATATATATATATATATATATATATATATATATATATATATATATATATATATATATATATATATATATATATATATATATATATATATATATATTTGGGCAGAAACTGAACATATGCTTTTTTTAATATGTCATATTAAATTAAGCGTTCACAGGGTTCATACAGGAATGAGTGACTCTAATTTAATTCTATTTGAAATTATTTTAATGCCATCAACAAGAACCATATACACAAGTTATTAGTGTACATGAAATATGAAGGAGCTGTAAGCAGAGTTCCATGACTCCTGTATGTATATAAACACACACACATACACACACACACACACACACATATACGTATATATATATATCCTCTAGCTTTTTCTCCACCTCAAGCTTCCTTTCTGAACATACGGCTTTATGATCAGTTCCACGCAAATTAATAGCGATATAATATATCTGACGAAATTGTTTTTATAAGCATTTTTATTAAAGAATTATGAATACTTTTCGATAAACATATTTAAATAATTTTAGTGCCAATTAAGGCCTTGATTTAAAGAAAACATGAATGAATTGTAATTATTTTTAATGATCCGCGGAAACCCTGGTTCATCTCGCGCATGCCCTCTACGATCTCCAAGGAACTCAGAGCGGAGCGGACGGGACCACAGCGGCGGCTGTAGGCTTTGCTTTGAGCAGGCGGTCTGGAGCGCAGCGGGGCGGAGCGGAGCGGAGCGCAGACGGAGTATGTGGGATTTCAGGGTAAGAGTATATGTAGCTGACTGAGACAATGGCAGGGCTAACGAGCTGACAGGGAGCAGGTGTTAGGAGACAATGAGGGAGCCAAGGGAAAAGGAACACACACAAGAGGGCAACAGAGGAAAAAAAACAGAAAAACCTAAGAATTAACATAAATCTAGAAACTACAACAAATTAGAAATTAAACCAATAAAACTAGAAAACAAGGAGCAAAGTAAAGCACAACATAACCAAAACCATGACACCCTGGCCCTAATCTGCAGTTTTGTAAGTGACTGGAAGAATCTGTTGAATGTCTTCATTAATAAATGCAATGGTTATATGACGGATTTCAGAAAACAGTAAGAGTAATAATATCTTTGTCATATTTAAAAATAAAAGAGGATTTTAACAAGTATCTTTTGAAAGATTTAGATCTTATGTTTTGTTTGGATTAAAAAAACCCCAAAAGAACTAGTTATTGCAAATACTGCTGAAAAATAATATATAACTTAGAGCCAGCTGTAAAAGGGCAGTTAAGCTTCCTCGTCTCAAGCTTGGGTCCTCTAATACAGGCCTTATACATATACAGTGACCCTAATCCCTTTTAAATAATAATTACTCTGAAATTAACCCCATCTGTTGTTTCAGTTCCACTGCCCACAGACAAGGCTACTACAATACATAATCCTAGATATTAGACAATTTTGTAAAAAGGCTTTGATTTTTTAAAACATTTGTATAGGGCTGCCTGTTTTTTAACTCAATGTTTTCATTTATTTATTCTTTTACTCTGCATAGATTTATACAAAAGGGCTGCAAAAAGGCCACCCTATGTGTACTGTAACACTTTAATTGGAAGATGAATCACTAGTTCCCATTGGAGAAGTTTGTCCTTTCATCCTTGTTTGATTGCCTTAATTAAATATACACCTCAAGTAAGCGACCACAAAAAAAAAAAACAAAAAAAAACAAACAGCAAGCACACTGGACTTTGTAGCTGGAGTTTGAAACTAAATATTAAACAAAAGGCCCCAATGAGTCCTTCATTAGTGTTTCATGGTTTCTCTTATGTTTATAAAGATTATTTCTCTGTGACAAACAGCAAATGATAATTGATAATATTAACCAATGGTTAATTTTCAGAGGTGTCAAAAGTATTTATGTTTATTACTCAAGTAAAAGTATAAATCCTACTGTTTTAAAACACTTTTGTAGAAGTTAGAGTTTCGACTTAAGCTTGCACTACCGTATTAAAGAAACGTTTTCCTAGGATTCTGGATGAATCTCATCATACTTAATTTTCTTAGTTTTATTACTAATGGTTACAGTGTCAAATGTAACTTTGCATCATGTTGAAAAACTATATATTTTGGTATGTTGTAAACTACAAGTTTGTGCAGTACTGATTCCATTTGATGTTTTTTATGTTTTTTGACAAGCCATAAAAAAAATGAGCTTAAATGAAACAAAACTAATTAGTCAAGTTTTTAGAATGTATGTAGTAGAAAGTAGAAATAATTGCAAAGAATGTAAGGAGTAGAAGTAAAAAGTTGTCTAAAAGGAATTAGCCAATAATTCTAAGTAAGTAAGGTAACAAAGTATTTTTTCTTTGTTACTTCACATGTTTATTTTAGCCTTACAAGTTAAATAAGTAACTAATATAACTATAACTATCAATGCACTCCTTATAACTTGCTATCATTCTTTCTTTGTTGCTGTAAGTTTAATAAATCTGCTTTGATGTCAGAAATAGCAGCAGGATTGATACAGGCCACATATGAACAATTGTTGTCCAGCCAGGCCAA